GAAATTATTTTGTAACAGTTTAATTTACTATTGTATCTAACCTTTCGTTGCTTAAATAAACATTTTAGGTATGAATTAACGGCAGTGAAACAGCAAATACTCGATCTGCTTCTTGCCGTATCGTTTAAAACTGAAGCGAAGCATGCATATGAAGAACACAAACATTATGAAAGTGAGTATGTTGATTTAATAAGTTTATATTATAAAGTGTAATAATCATGACTAATAGATAGTTATGATTTATAATGTAGAAGTAGACTTACTTCTAAACATGAATGGAAAAAGAAATGCCGGCTCATTGTCTGGACATCGTGCTAGTAGATAAAACTTAAAGGCAGGCACAAATCACTTAAATGGCATACGCAGCTGACGGCAACGTTGTTGGTAGGGGAAAGAATGGATACTGAACTCTCAAGAACTGCGGATTTAAATACCAAAGACCTGGAGAGTAAATGCGGGTGTCGTCCCCATTATAATCGGTGCTTCAGTGCAATGAGCAGAGCCCGTCAGCGCCGACTAAATTCAACTGACAAAGCAATCAGAGTGCATAAACTGCAGATGGCAACTCTGATAGAAACAGCGAAGATTTCAAAATGAATACTGCAGCTCCTTTGGCAGAGAGTTCGAGCTGAAGAGATGTTCGTACCACTGATGCCATGTTTTGCGGAATGTGACTCAAAAAAATGCACAAAACAGAATTGGACGTAACAGGAAATTATAGTGCAGGGTGAGTTTCATATGAGACCGGCAAGATCATGAAACAATGTGTTCTTTGAGCTTTGAGTAAATAATTTCGAAGGTTCATACCGATACCATGCCGTAGATGATTTGTAGGTGATAGGTCTTCTGATTTCTTGATTGACAGCACGAGAAACAGGAAAATAGTTTCATTTCAAGAATTCCAGCACATCGGTCGTTATCAGAAAATTAACATGCAATAAAAACAACCTGCTGAGTCAGTTGGTAATTGGCCCGATTGGTTAGAGTGGAGTTGGACGTTAGCTCGGTCGCCGATTAAGCTATGAATCATGCATCACGCTGCGGAAATGGCAATGGAGCCAACGCAGTCGTTTTAAGTTCTAATTTTACTAGCAGTGATGTGTAACGACTCTTTGATTGATGACTTCAGCTTGTCTCGGTGTCGATCGACAACCGCTACGTCGCTGTTGTTAAAATCATGATCGTTCTCCATGGCATGAAGAACAAAATCAGAATGATCAGCGTCACGCTACCTGATGGCTCTTCCGTTCTCCGTTAGTTTGGGTTTTTAACGTTCGACAGGAGAGTTAGGAGTTCCGAGTCATGAAGTCATTTAAGCTTTGAGAGTCATGAATCATCAGCCCAGAAACCTCAAGCGTATTTAACACAAGCAGACTGACTGATTTCCTGTGTATGCTATGTATATGAAAAGTTTACTGCTCTGCTTTGTGTTCTCACGTTTTGAAATATCGTAGCTGTACTACATTAAGGAAGAAGTAACTTTCGCAAGCAGATTGCTGTCAGCATTGAGAAGCTGACCGAGGAAATAACGAAACTTCGTCAAAAGTTAACGTTATGTGAAACACGCAGAAAGGAGTTGGAAGGCATGATTTTAACGGAAGGAAAAAAGTTGTCTTCTCTGGAGCAAGTAAGCTGTTAATATCGTTTATTGCTTAAATAAATCTCGCTGCTAATTCGTGATTGAATGTAACATTAATTTAGAATGGATACTCATAATTTTCGAAGGATATACTTCACATATTACTTTTATTAAACTAAGTCCCAACGTTTCGAATCCAGCTGGTTCTAGCAATATGCAATACTGATTAGTACAATGGCAAAGATTGCATCGTCCTATGTACTTGTTGTTGTATAATATCCCCGGAAGATGGATCCAGCTCGGTCCGAAACGTTTGGATTTATTTTAATAAAATTTTGGCGTCAAACCTAATGAAGATTAAAACGACCAAGCATTGTTCTCTCGCATAAAGAATTCGAGTAATCTCTTTAAAACTGCTATGTTTAGAAGAACTGATTCTTTAACAAGCTTTGACGCGTTTTTTAATCATCCCGATTTCTAACTAAAAGCGACTTTCTCATACAATTTGTTTAAACCTACGCTTAATATCCAAAAAATGCAACGGTAAAATAAATGCTATCCAAATATTTACAAAGCGGTATACAAATGATACCAGTAGTGCGGGTGCAGTAATTTCAAGCATCATCGTCAGTCCTGTATGGTCTACATTAGGACGGTTGCCCACGAACTGTGGCTTCTGATGATGGCGGCGTACCACAGTATCAACTGGTGGGTCCGCATTTTCATTGAGCTACTACTGATGTATGATAACTACTTAAAACACCTTCAGGTTACCAGTTATATTGTGATCACCTCCAGAAGAATACCACAGAGGAATCCATGAGATAAACGACGCCATGATCAGAGCCGGACTGAAAATGAACAAGTAGAAGAATCAAGTCATGCTTAACAAATACGCGAGTCTTGACGTATTTGAGTCAAAGGATGTCGACTGGAAGGGGCACAAAACTACATGTATATAAGACAGCTTATTTATGCAACTGACAGTCAACTGTAAGAAATTAATAAAAGAGTAGAAATGGCGCGGAGCATCTTTGGAAGATTGCAAATGTTCTTTTCCAATTCATTCGTAGTCATTATGCTTATAAAATTTTCTTCCTCGATCAGTGTATGCTCCTCGTGCTAACTTTTGGATGCGAAGCGTAAACCTTAATCCTGATAGCTGCACAGAAAGTACAGAATAAGCAACGCAGTATGGAAAGGTGTATCTTGGGAACAACAGGGTGAAAAAGGTGATATGGAAATAGGCAAGATACGTTGCAGGCCGAAAGAGGCCATCGCTGGACTCCAGATATGTTGGTCTGCATTCAAGCAAACAGTAAATGATCCCTCGTCGGACTTGCAGTTCGATGACAGGATGAGCGGAATAAAGTGGATAAGAACTGTTAGAGACAGAATCCTGTGGAAAAACCTTGGAGAGGCATGTATTCAACAGTAATTCAATAAAAGATGTTGCTGGTGATGATGCTCCATTGTAGCCATTGAGCAATGGACTGTTAAAAGGCCCCTTCCCTAGTGCAAGGACACGCTGCAGTACACCATGAAACTTGGTCTTGATGTAATTATTCATCTGTTTCACACGGAAACATCCAAACCAGCACTTCTGATTCTTATCATAACGCCAGTTTGATAACATAAATATGCTCATAAATGCACTGCGAAAAGGTTCGTCAACTTTCAGAATCGAAAATGCCTTTGTAAATGTTACTGTTGCGAAAAGTCAGTCTGGACATTAAGCTACCTGAGTATTTATTTAAAATTTCTTGCCCTTGAAGGAATCATATTAGTAGTTAAAAATACCGTTACTCTACACATTACCTCTTCCGCTGTGTAGAACAGCGGTATTTTTAACTGTTACCTCAATATTGTTTGACGACGCAAGTTGTCTAGTAAACGAATTTAGTCAACACGTATTCATCTGAATTTCATTTATATGAGAAATTCCTCTTTGCCTTTCCTCATCATATAATGTCTTTCTAGGATATATTAAGTAAATGCAAGACCGCGGAGCACCGAGATATATGGCGGCTGATTTTCAAGCTATACAGAACCGAAGCAGATAGTAAG